CTCTTAATGAAACTAGTCAAACGCTCTGAAAAAAAGTTGTAAATGTTAAATCTTTTTTGTACTCCTATAAATTATTAGTTAAATATGAAATGGATCGACTAAAAACACACTAGTACACACCTAATGTTGCATCGTCTGTTTTATATTACTGCTTCTAAGGTTTGGTGCGGCTTTGACGTCAAATCTACGGCCAGAATTAGCCCTATTTTTCACAGTGTTTTTCTCTTACAATAAATCAGTCATACAAATCAGCCGCTGCTACAGTAAGGTCTCGTTTGGCACGGCTCCACTTCACCCATGAAGCCCTTTTTTGAGGCTTCAGCTCTATGAACAGCTCTATGGGTGGAGCTGTAGCCGTTTTGATAAATCGTTTGGCAAAACAGCTTCACATATAGTTTTTTTTAAAATATGCTCTCAGAGAACGCCATGTAGAATGAGGTGAAGCCAAGAGAAGCCACTATTTTTAGCTCCTTCCCACCCTAAAACTATGTGAGATCACGTTTTTAGGGGCTTCATCGGTAGAGCCGTTTTATTTTATCCCATTTAATAGAAAACAGCTCCAAACGGCTCCTAAAGTCGCTTAAAGAAGCCCTGTCAAACGAGGCGTAAGTCTTGCCGAACAACCCGCTAGTCTTTTTCACCGTAGCTTGGCATGCGACTGTTATTATATTAGCATGTGCTACACGGGTGCCAATCGGTTCTTGGAAGAAGAAATACACTGAGTACGCATCCGTGCAAATAAACAGTGCCATTGCTTCTTGCCTACCTTTTGTCTACGGCTGTTTAGAGAGAACTAGCCTCGCTGCCGTCAAATTCTTTCTTAATTTTTCGATTTTCTATGTGTAATTGATGCCTCGGAGATGTACAGTACTAAGTGTGAGCCATGTTCGGCTAGCTGAAAAAATAATTGATACTATTTTAATGTGAGAGAAAATTACTATGATTTTATTAAAAATGTACTGCTAGTAAGTTCAAACGAAGAGGGTCTTAAATAGGAGACGCTGTACTTGACCTCTTGGGCGTCAAGGTCAATGCGACCATACGAGGTCACGAATAGTTCAAATATCCTTTTTTAGTTTATTTTGAGTATAGTTTCTTATCTCTTCTTGGCTCATGCATGCCCAAATTGATTCCGTGAAGTCATCAAAAGATTTTTTTTTCTAAAAATCCGAATCCGATAAACTAAAAACCCTTAGGATGCATTGGTTGTCAGGAAATGGTGACCAGGAACCATTCGTACCAGGATTGCGGGTGTAATTTATATAGCTAAACCTTCGTCAGAAACAATTCTCACCAGGAACAGCCCTAGCCGAACGAGCCCTTAATATTGTCGAAAGAGAAGATTCAAACTTCATGGTGAAACTGGATAGTCGAAAGAAGTGAGTTCGAGATCCACGATTTTTTTACTCAGATTTTTCTCATCCGTCTCAACTAGATAAAGCTCAACACCCCGAAATCGCCGACCAAACCGAAACCAACACTCCGCTGCAGCAGCTCCACCCTTCATCCGGATCTCACTCCCGAGAAAAACTCGCCACCACGCGGCCCTCCTCCCCCGGTCCCACCGAGGGCCCCACGGAAGACGCCCCGGCCTCCACGTCACCATCCGAACGTCACGGTCGCGGTGACTGCCGCCGAAACATGCGTTGAACGAGCGAGCTCGTCATCATTAAACAACGCAAACCGCCCCGTGCTCTCGAAGCAACCCGCCCGCCCGGCCGTTGCTTCCCCGCCGCTCCCGCCGCCGCAGACCGCACCAGCTCAGCTGAGTTGACTTCTTCGCCACCTCCTCTCCTCCTCCTCAGGCGCCGCAGGGAGGCATGGAGGGTTCGTCGTCCTCGCCGGGCGACGGCGGGGGCGTCTTCCAGGTCCAGGTCGCGGTGGCCGTGCGCGGGGACGGCCGCGCCAGCCGCCGAGCCGCGCGGTGGGCCGCCTCCAGCCTTGTCCCGGCCGGCGGCCGCGTCGCGCTCGTCCACGTCATCCCGCCCGTCTCCTTCGTCCCGTCTCCATGTAAGGATCACTTCACTTACCGTCCTCCTAGTCCCTCCCCTTCCTCGAGTCCTTTGGGTTTCAAATGGCAGCGACCTGACGTTGGGCTCCATGATTTCTCTCGGTGTGGCGAAGCGGGGGAGAGGGTGCCGGTGGAGAAGATGGAGCGGGAAGTGGTGGAGATGTACGCGCAGGACTGCCGCGCGCGCGCGCAGGAGGTCTTCCTCCCCTTCCGCCGCCTCGTCGGCCGCGGCGGCAGAACCGTGAGTGACCCCACGCGTTTCACTCTGCATCCTAGCTTTGCTGGTACTGCGTCGTTTCTGATCGACTGAATTCGCAGGTGGATACGGTGGTTCTGGAAGGGGATAGCGTCGCGGAGGCGCTGGTGAAGTACGCGGCGGAGTCCGGCGTCCGTAGTCTCGTGCTCGGATCCGCCACACTCAGCTGGTTCCGGAGGTGAGGATTTAATTCTGTTAACATTTTCTCCTGGTACAGAAGGTGGTTGGAATTTTCACTTTTGAGAAACCAATGCCGATGTTGTTCGGATTTACTACTATTTATTAGGGAATTGCTGTTAAGTTTTGCTGAAATGAAATAAAATAAAGGACACAAGGAGCAAAAAGGAGTGTCCCTTTTCGGAGATGGTGTCCCCTTTTTGGAGATAGTGAGATGAGCTTCATTCTGCCAGCCTAACGCTTTGGCATGCAACAGTGACATAGGGTCGTAGGTGAACAAACATTTCGTGAGGATTGAGCGTCATTTCTGTCAAAGGCTAGCGCTTTTTGCAAATCTCTCCAAGCACAAAGGCTAGAATTTTGCTTTTGAGAACCCCAAAAGTGATGTGATGGATCATGGGCTATCAACGGTTTAGCCTTTTTCCTATCCTAATTAAAACAAAAGGAAAGCAAGGGAGCAAAAAGGGGATAGTGACTTAGTGAGATGCGCGCGCGCATTTGGCATAGTGAGATGTGTACAAGCACTGCTACTCTGCTAGGGAACAAAAAGAAAACAAAACTCAAAATATAAACAGACAAACCTTTTGAGATAGTGGGATGTGCGCGCAGCATTTGTCTTTGGAAAGCTGGGTGCATGCACGTACGATTGGATTGATCTTATTTTTTATGAAGACCAACCTCTTTTAAGCCCTTTTATGTTTTTGAGTAAAATATGATAGGACTAACCTATTTGGCATGTTCGTTTGAACTTATCAGCCGGCTTATTAGCTAGAATCTACAGCATTCTTCTCTCACAACAAATCAGCTTCAACCGGCTTTAATACCAGCTGAATGCTGATCTGTGCAAGTTATGTACGACTAGTACAACTGATCTCTGCTTTTTGTACCAACTGAGCAGTTGGTTGAAAATTTCTTGTTGACCACCTTTAGGAATGCATTGGAAAAAGATAAAGAGTGTCCATTTTGGGATATTTTGCCACAAAAAGGCTCAGCATTACCTAGTGCTTATCCTCTTTTTTCTAAATTTGTGATCACCTCAAAAGATGTACATGCAAAGATGGAAAAGAATTGTTCTTGGAAGGCATAAAACTCCCCTCTTCAGCGTCCCACATCAGACATCACAATTCACTACTCACATACCTTCGCTAACAATTCTTTTTTGTGCAAAGGTTGCCTTGATCAGTTCTCATAAATATATTTCTGTGAAGCTAGAAGATGTCATTTGCAAAGCAGGATTAGCAGCTGGTTTCTTTTTTCTTTTTCAGTTGTATAGTTTGGTGCATTATGTGCCTCAACTGCCACATCTTTTTGGTGGATCTACTTTTGTTGCTTGTGGTAGCCTTCTAGACTCTTTCTCAAGTCCTGTACCCTTAATTAATTTTTTCTGTTAGCTGTCCATCGAATGATTCTGTACCAACTCCTATCAAACTGAAAAATTAAAATTCCAGTTTAAACCCTGTACATGCCATGTTGTGCTCTGCGTTTTCAATATGACTAGTTTACATTTCTGCATGTATAGCCGTGTCAATATATATATTACTTAGGGATAACATTTCAATGTTGCTTGGCTGAACCCATTATCTACTTCAAATGCATATTAATAAATAAAATATATTTGTTGTTATTTTTTTTAATGGAAATGGGCGTTACCCAGTTTGAAAGAAGAGGAAGAACTAAAATAATGGGTTTGTCTGTTTATATTCTGAACTTTGTCACCATCGATTTTTAGCCAATCATTGACAAATGGTGCTATTATTCCCTTTTCAGGATTTTACGGCTCCAAGATGTGCCTTTTACAGTTCTGAAAACTGTGCCAAGTTTCTGCAACATATTTGTCGTGTCCCGGCGCAGATTAACAATAAAAATTGCAAATCAGGCTCGAAATAGCAGTATGTATTGCTCAGTTTCCTTTCCTTCAATAATTTTGTCTTTGTTTACTATTCGTTTTGAGTTTCTTTTTTCCCCAAATATATGTTTCTTTACAGAGTCGAACGCTTCTATTCGGATTCAGTCAATAAGTCATAAAGCATTTGATCAAATACAGAGGGACTGGTTGCAAGACAAACAGGCTTTGAATAATCTGGCTGATGATGAGATACCAAAATATTCTGGAAATTCTAGTTCAGGCTCATTCTCTCAAGTCTGCAGTTCTCTAAGCACTTCTTCCAACGCCATTAAAAGTTCAGAAAGTCATAGAAGAGGTTTTTTAGGAAGCTTAGGTCGAAGGACACCAGGGAGAGAAAGGAACAATGATTTTGATGCTATTAGCCAATTGAAGGAAGTTCATTATGTTGCCTTAAGCTCAGTTGAAGAGGTCAGAGCTTTTTCCATCCTTAAGAACATTCTGGCTAGTGCTCACTTTCAGATACATCAATTCATTTCTGGAAATACTCTAAAATTCAGTACCACTGACTTTGTTTTCTGGCTTCATTTCCAGTACCAACATATAGATGAAGAAGAAAAACTGAGGAAGGAGCTGAAGGATACTTTGATGATGTATGACAGAGCTTGTGGAAATCTCGCCCATGCTAAGAAAAAGGTCAGTGATGCATGATAGTACACTACTTGGCCCTTAAAAGTAAAGTCTTATTTTAAAAATCTGTCTGTTGATTCACTATGAGGCATTCTTATTTACGCTTAACTATCGAAGGTTGATAATGATCTCATGATTTAGCTGGTGCAGTCCAAACTTAAGTCTTTCATTTAGTATCCTTGGTTCCCCCTCCGACAGAAGATTTTTACTTATATGCCTATTTAATTTTTACTGTTTCAGATTCAGTTACTTTCTAGTGAGTGCTGTGAAGATGTGAATAAGGTGCAAGAGGCACTGCAGAGAGAGGAAATGTTGAAACAGACGGTTGCAGATGAGAAAACCAAACATTTAGAAGCAATTGGAGCAGTTGAGATGGCAAAAAATGCATTTACACACGAGACCTATTCCAAGCACCAGGCTGAAATATTAGCTAACATGGTGTCTATTGAGAATGCTAAGGTTGTGGATGCCCTTTTATCAACGGTCAAAAGTTGCAGGCAGTACTCGAAACATGAAATAGAGCTTGCCACTGATTACTTTTCTGATGCAAAGAAGATTGGTGAGGGTGGCTATGGGAACGTATACAGGTGTACCCTTGACCACACTGAAGTAGCTGTAAAAGTTATTCAACAAGATTCCACCAATAAGATTGATGAGTTCTTGAGAGAGGTACGCTGATTTATATGTTTCTAATTTTCTCATTGGACATAGTCAATTACTTATTTTTCGAAATTTTGAAACCTCAAGTTGCATGTATGTGTGTTTTTTTTGGCCTTTTTTGAACTTGCTACATTTTGTACCAGCTGTACTATGTCATAAACATAACATACCATGTGGTTAAATGATTCATTACATTGATCTATTGTGTGACAGGTGGAGATTCTCAGCCAACTTCACCATCCCAATTTGGTTTTACTGCTTGGTTTTGTCCTGAAATTGGATGCCTTGTGTATGAATACATGGAGAATGGGAGTTTAGAAGATCTACTTATCAACAATAAAGGGCAGCCACTCCATTGGTTTCTTCGATTCCAAATTATCTTTGATGTTGCTTGTGGGCTTGCTTTCTTGCATGGGACGAAACCAGAGCCCATTGTCCATCGTGACCTAAAGCCTGGGAACATCTTGCTGGACAAGAATTATGTAAGCAAAATTGGTGATGTTGGTTTTGCAAAGCTCATATCAGATCTTGTGCCAGAAGGGTTAACAGAGTACAGAGACACTGTCATCGCTGGCACTCTGTATTACATGGATCCGGAGTATCAATTAACTGGGACAATTCGACCAAAATCAGATCTTTTTGCTTTGGGTATTATCATTCTTCAACTACTAACTGGCAAGCGTCCACATGGGCTGGTAAGTAGTGTAGAAGAGGCAATTAAAAGGGGGATATTATCAGATATCCTCGACAAGTCTCAGCCTGATTGGCCAATTGCTGAGGCCGAGATGTTGGCAAAACTTGGGTTGTGGTGTACAGCCTTAAAATGCAGGGACAGACCTAACCTTGAGTCGGAAGTGCTTCCAGAGCTCGAAAATATCCTAAGCAGGGTTACTGTTTCTTTCAAACTCGAAAATATCCTTGCACCAAGCCACTTCTTCTGTCCGATACTGCAGGTAAAATTAGCTAGGTACTTTACATCAACAGTTCCATTTACCCCTTTGCCACTCTAGCTAAATGGAAGAATTTTGATGCAGGAGATAATGGAAGATCCTTACGTTGCTGCTGATGGGCACACCTATGAGCACAGGGCAATCAAAGCTTGGCTCGAAAAATACAAGATATCCCCAGTGACAAATCAGAGGCTTCCACATTTATCCATAATTCCCAACCATTCCTTGCATGCGGCAATACAACAATGGAAGTTGCGGACATCTTAACAAAGGCATGAGATGACTGTTTTGTTTGTTGTATATAGTTTGATTCATCACTGTCCTTTTGAGTTAAGATGTAAATAAAGAGCAATAGTTCTATAGTGAAAGAAGATAGTATTGTAGGAATAAGTTGTGTTACTAGTCTAGATTTGTTAGATCTGGTTTAGGCTAAATGGCCTATATCTTGTACTCAAACAATTGAAGTTACAACTGAATTCAGTTCTGGGATGCTGTATGTTTTTGTAGCTATAGCCTACAATACATTTTCTTGGAGGGTCCGATTACAATTTTCAGTGTGATTTCTTTGAGATCAGGTATCTTGGTGAAGTGTTGTTCTGTACACCATTATCAGTAGCTAAAACTCCTCAGTTATGGCACACTTTGTACTTCTTATCTTAATAAAATGACACACAGCTCTCCTACAACGTTTGAGGAAAAAAATCCGGAGTTTGGATTATCCAAACCATCCTTTGTTTTCTTGCAAGAATTGGCCTAACTCTACAAAACATCTGAGGGCATAAAATATGGAACTAAGAACTGGAACTGTCCAGGATGAAATTTCACAACGTGATTCCAGATTTTATTTTTGAAACCACTACGAAGTATCTTATTGGTATGGGATACAAGTTGTTCGTCGAGGTACTTGACAAAATTACTCAAAACATATTGACTTTTGAATGGGTGCTTCCAAGTGGTTCTATGCTATACTGCTAGCAGTAACCTCTACTTCTTTTGGAACAAGTAATGTGCGACCATCCATTCATCTCCATTGTTGTATCCAAAAAGTTCAGCTACCGAGATGAAGAACGTCCGCCAATAAGCTATCCATTTGGTAGTTGATTCCTTCCCATAAGTTTTCTCGAAGATCGGTCTTATTGAAGTGATACTCTTGTCCATACGTTTTAGCCACTCCTCGCTGCACAAATGACCCCAAGTGCTTAAGTTAATCAATACACTGTACTGGATGTCGATGCACTTGTTGCCTGACATTTTGTCCTTTACAGTATAAAACACGACAGTGCAAATGGCAAAAATGATAAATCCTCTACTTACAAGATAAAGCTTGAAATGCAACTTTTGCATTTCCTCACTAATAGTCACAGGAGTTGCTGACTAAAAAAATCAGTTTAGAATGCATGGATTATTACAGCGAGGATAGTTTGAAGCTTGGAAGGATATACTCCCTCCATCCACAAAAGAATACAAATCTAACATAGTACCAAGCTAAATTATCTTACATATATGTTTAGTCAAAGTTTGGACAAGTTAACCAAGAATGTATCTAGATTTACATTTTTTTTGGACAGAGGTATATAGTACCTAGTTCTCGCATAATGCGTGCCACTGATAAGCCAATGATTGACCACAGATACATCTTCCTGCAGTAGTATAGTCAGTAAAATATCAAAACCGCATGTTATCAGAGTCAGTAAATATAAACATTCGTAAGAGTATTGATTGATAGCCAGTCAACCGGTATTCATACTTAATGCATGAGAGCACTCCTTAAAAAAGAAATAATGATTGGACACTACCTGAAAGTAGAGAAGTAGGTTTGCAGATGGCATTGTTCCTCCACTGAAGAAATACCTCGTGATCCAATCATCATCATTTTTATCCTGTCAAATTGTGAGGTGATGAAGATTAACATAATTGTTGAAGTATAAGTGAATTGCTCACTTCTCCCCATTAGCTTAAGCTTTTGGATTAAACTGGTCGTTGCATGCATCTCAATATGGTATCAAAGCCAAGTTTTGAGTTCGAATCCTAGCAAATAAAAATAATTGTTGCTCGCCCCTAGTCCACGTCTGACGGTTTACATGGAATGCGTTCAGTATGGATCAGATATTGAGAACTTAAGTTCACATGGAATGCCTTAGATATTGAGATTAAAACTATGCTGCGTGCATCCGACAGATTAGCTACAACTTTGTGCACCAGCCAAATACAAATACAGGTACAAGCCTGCAGTTTATTAGGTGGTGGAATGCACCAAATGACCAGTGAAAACGCAGGATCATTAATCTACCTCAAAATGATATGGAAATGTTTTGTGGCAGAAGAAGTGAACAAATAGTAGGCCGTCCTCTTTCATCCACCTGGATATCTTCTTAAGAAGCGACTTGTAGTTTTTCATGTGCTGCATAATGGGCCATGACAAACGATCATTTGCCTTGATGAATATTGAAAGCACAGCAAGACACCAAACTGAATCATACCTCAAACATCTCTATAGATATGATCCTGTCAAAAGAGCGCTACATCTCAAACTTGCTGATGTCTGCCACAATTATCTCAACATTTGACAACTCATTTTCCCTGAAACAGAATTGAAGTGGCAATGTGGCATAACAAATTATTACTGGAAGGGAAATCAAAGTTAGACCAAATGGTGGTAGATCTGTCCGCATATCTAGCAAATCTACATGCATGTGAAAGAATTTTTGTCAATAGTATGAGGTCTTGGACAATTATATCCTTAAACAGCTCATGATATTTGAACTTCATTATTTACAAGTTTGCAACAGCTGCAGAATTGACAGCAATATAACAACATGATGAACATGAAACAAATTGCAGTGACAGGAATAGGCTGCAATGGTCACTTAGAAGGGTTACATGGAACATAAGTTGGCACTACATGTAAAAATAATCAACTGACTCCATGTACCACCGAAGCACTGAAACCATTACACTTACCTACATTGCTCTTCTATAAAAGCCTTTTGTGTAGTAGAGTTGCATATCCCTGTTACACTGCAGTTCCTATATTTCTTTGCAATGTACAGTGAAAGGGATCCCCATCCACATCCAACATCTAGGATGGTTTGGCCATCTTGTAGTTTTGACCTCTCACAGTACAGATCCATCATTGCAACCTCAGCATCTTCTAGGGTGCTTGAATCATCAGGGAAGTAGCAGGAACTGGAAGATTCAATGTATTCGTGTGGATTAACCAAAGAGAATATGTCTTTTGCTTAAACTAAGGAGTGGGAGTATACACACTGCACCATCAGCCACTCATATAAACAGACCTCTTCCTAGTATACCATCTGACCAGAATATGTCTTTTGCTAAAACTAAGGAGTGCGCACAAACCTGTATTTGAGATTCCTTCCAAGCACTAACTTGAAAAATGCAGTTGGCAACTCATAATGTTGAGCTTTAGTTTTGTCTGTTTCAATGGCAATGGGCATCTCTTCAACAGCTGCATCACGGAAAACAAGCAGCACAATAATGAGAAATTCGATTCCTAACTCCTAAGAGATCAATAGCATCACAAAACTAGTAATCAATCAGGGTATCGCTCTGGTGGCTAGGTTAGTCTTTACTGAAACATTAGATAACAAAACAGATACATATTGGCATCTGTTAGTCATTTGGAGCCTCAGAGAATTGTAATGCAGGGTTGATGATACTTTGTCCAGTTTGGTACAACTTAACGGCAAACTATCCCAAAGAGGGCCTATGTTGCAACAACACATGATCTCGGTTGCTCCCGTAGTCCCGTCGCCGGCCCCTTCCCCGGTCCCCCGACTTCCACCTCCGCCCCTCCCAGTCAGTCGTCCGCCCGGAGCCCCAGATCCACGGACGCGGCGCCATTCTCCTGCTCCTCCGGCTCCAGCAGTCCAACCGCTGTTCTCCTGCAGTCGGCTAGGGGCTCCGTCGAGAGGCGCCGGGGAGCAGCTGCGCCCAGGGCGGCGGCAAGCAGCAGGCAGGGGCGGCCGGCGATGGCAAGCTGCGCCCTGGGGCGCCGGCAAGCAGCGGGCAGGGGCGTCGGCGTGCAGCGACCCTCTCCTCTCTCTGGCCCGCTGGCCGCTGGGCCCCGCGCACCTGTGTCCCAGACCGGGAGGTCCGCCCTGTTAGCCTCATCCCTCCCTTTCTCCTACCATCCGTCGCCGAGCCGGACTCTGCTCCGACGGCAACCGCCAAATCCCATTTCTCTTCAACTGTTGTCACGTAGTATATTGGTCTATGCTTTGTTCAGTGAGCAGGTAATTGATCACAGAGGAAGCAATCTCATGTTCCTAATGAAAAGAAAATTCAGAGATTCAGATTTCAGGAATCCAACCTGTTTTTTACCTTCCGAGCTTGGCTGCAGTAAATAGGAAGTGCCTTCAGCCCTTCATAGTGCAGGTTGCAGTTTCTTCTTGGTTGCAAGTACGCATTGATGATGCATGATAAATCAGAAGGTGCTATTTGCTTTTGTCCTACCTTATGCAGGAATTTAGGATGTGCAACCAGACTTCAAATATTTGTTTTGACTTTTGTTTTCTTTCCTTTTCCATTTCCTGTGTATCCTAGCTTATAGCCACTGGGAGACCAGGTAAATGCTTGATTAGTTTGGTGATTTTTTTTACTCCCTTCATATGTGTTTAACTAATCTTACCTTTTTTTTGCTTTTGTTTTAATTTTGCAAGCTGGGGGCTAATAACAAGAGGGATTTCCTTCCTCTTTTTTGATTGTCAAGGACCTGGGCGCCTAGAGTAGGTGGCTTCTCAGTTCATAACTCGAACCAAGTAATGGAGGTGTCAGGTTTTTTGCCTAACTACCACAGCAGGGGGTGAGATTAAGAATAGCAGAGAGAGAGAGGGAGATTAGGGAATAACTTCTTTCTTACTTCCTTCAATGAGTACAGGGGTACATATAGGAGCTCTGCTCCATTGCTACTTGCGCCAGCCATTAACTGCTAGTTGGCTAATTAATTTCTTAATCTCTTCAACTTCTACTTAATTGCCTTAGAGACTGCGGCCCCTCCAGCCGCCTAAACCTCCTTGGGTTCTTCCAGGCCATGCGTCCCCTTGGGGACTGCCCTGGCTGCACCTCGTGTTCGAGGCCGGCGGCTATACTGTCGGCCCACATGACATCTCTCCCCCCCTTGACGAGCAGCTCGTCCTCGAGCTAGAAGCTTGGGTGCGCTTCGGTGAAGCTGTCAATGTCCTCCCAGTAGCGGAGGCCGAGGGCTCGCCTTGCCAATGGATGAGGACTTGGCGGGACGCCTCGGGCGACCTAGATCATGGCGCGTTGCTGGAACCCGGCTATGAGGCGCCATGATGCATAGGGCAGAGCCGGGGGTGTGGCCGGGAGTACGCATGAACTTCTTGAGGCCGGCGTGGAAGACATCATGCACCGGCGCGAGGAGGGAACTCGAGGCGGTGGCGGCGTCGTTGATGATGGCGGAGATGCGGTGCGGCCCATAGTGCGGGGCCGCAGCTTCCCTTTGGTGACGCCGTGGAGGGAGGCCGGGCGCGATGGCGAGAGACGGTTGGACCCAATCACCCACGTTGTAGTGAACGGTGTGGTGATGTTTGTTGTAGAACCGCTTGTAGGCGTCCCCGAGCTTGCTCCGGTAGGGCCCGGCATCACCGACATCTCATCGCGTTCGCCATGGTCTTGGCCACATGCAGCCACCTGGTTTCACCGGGCTCATAGGAGCGGATGGAGGGTGGCTCACGGCCGTCAAACGATTTGGAATGGTGTGGTCTTGAGTCGGATTTGAAAGGCGGTGTTGTAGATGTATTCCGCCCATGGCGGCCAGCCTGACCAGCATCGACGGGCGATCATCCAGCGAAGGTGGGCAGGAGATCACCCGCCAGACGTCGTCAGAGAAGGGCGAGCCCCGGCGATGCCTGCCCAGCACAACCTGTGATCTCGGTGCCAGAAGGACATGGTGAGTGCGTCGAAATCCCAGAGGATCGGGCCAAGGGAGGCCAGCCACTCGATGCCGAGGACGACGTCGTAACGGCGGAGGTAGCGAAGAAGTCGGTGGAGAATGGTTCGCCAACGAGGGAGAAGGAAACGGCACGGTAGACGCCGGGGCACGGCACCCGTTCCCCATTCGCCACCGTGACCTTCATGTTGCTGTGGGGTCGGAGCTTGAGGGAGGTGCGTGCCGCTGCTTCCTCAAAGACGAAGTAATGGGTGGAGCCCGAGTCCAGCAGGGCCAGTAAGGACGCCCCGCCCAGCTGGATGCGGACCTGCATGGTCTCGCAGGAGCGGACGCCTGCCATGGCGAGTAGTGAGATGAGCGGGCTGGCAACCGCAGCGTCGGTCTGCTCAGGATCATCGTCGCCATCGGCCTCGGCCAGATCGAGGAGGAAGATGTGCTGGCAGACGCGGTTGTGACCCCTGCCAAACTTCTTGTTGCAGTTGAAACAGAGGCCCAAGCGTCGCCGCTCCTCCATCTCTGATTGGGACAGCCGCTTCACCTGGCGGCCCTCGACGGTGAGAGAAGGCGCGACTGCACGGGGTGGGGGCTGGCAGGGCCAGCTGTGGTGGTGGCCCCGTCAAGAGGCCGCGGCGTGGCTCTTGTGGGCGCAGCAGAGTGGAACAATGGGGGGTAATCTTGCTCGCGTAGCTCCAGCTTGCGTGCAAGGCTCATGGTGATGACGAGGGACTGCGGGTTGTGGACTTCCACGTCGAGGCTGAGCGGCGGCTACAGTCCTGCCGTGAACGCTTGTACGCGCTGCGCCTCCGTGAGCGTGCCGATGCGAGGAAGCAGCGCCTCGAAGCGGTTCTGGTACTCCGCTACCGAGCTCGTCCGCTTGCACGCCATCAGCTCACCAAGGGGGTTGGAGCGGATCGGCGGCCCAAAGCGGAGGTTGAGGAGCTTGGAAAAGCGGCGCCAAGACGGCGTACCCTCGTCCTGCTGCACTTGGAGGAACCACATCTGGGCGCCGTCTTCAAGGTTGTATGACGCCATCCAAACTTGCTCTCTACCGCTGTCTGTTGTTGATGAAAATACGACTCGCATCGGTTAAGGAAGGCCAGCGGATCGGATTTCCCGTCGAACTTGGGGAAGTCCAGCTTCTGGAACCGAGGTGGGCGGTCCCCGTGGCCTGAGCCTCGTGATCCTGAGCCGGAGAACGCCGGTGGCTGCGCCTGTTGAAGAGCGGCGACCTACTGTTGAAGGTCGCTGATGGTGGCGTTCATGGTGGTGGTGAGGGCCTGGATCATCTTGGGCAGGTCGGCGGTGGACGGCTCAGCCATTGGCAAGGAAGTGGAGGCTGCTGAGGCGGTGGGTGAAGCAGGGGTTGATGGTGCGGTGGCTACAAGGTTGGAGGGCGGGGCGGAGGTGGAAGAAGATCGCCGGCTAGCTGATACCAAGTTGTCAAGGATCTGGGCGCCTAGAGTAGGAGGCCCTTGGCTTCTCAGTTCATAACTCGAACCAGGTAATGGAGGTGCTGGGTTTTGCGACTACCACAAATAGGGGTGAGATTAAGAATAGAGAGAGAGAGATTAGGGAATAACTTCTTTCTTATCTTCCTTCAACGAGTATGCAGGGTACATATAGGAGCTATGCTCCATTGCTACTTGCGCCAACCATTAAGCGCTAGGTGGCTAATTAATTCCTTAATCTCTTCAACTTCTACTTAATTGCCTTAGAGGCTGCAGCCCCTCGGCCGCCTAAACCTCCTTGGGTTCTTCCAGCCATCGTCCCCTGGAGGCGCCTACTGCTGCATCTCGTGTTCGAGGGCGGCGACTGTCTTGTCGGCCCCACATGAGATTGATTATCAAAAAAAATTTACAAATGACTATGATTATAGGAAGCAAGAGCTTTTTTTAGTTCTGCAATATGGTGTAGTGACCCTCAGAAAATGCTTGCGCACTGTCAATTTGGTGTTTTTTGCATGGTTTTTCGAGGAAAAAAATGTTGTTCTTTAATCTACCTGTAGAGCATTGGAGGTGATAGGGAAATAGATGTTTTAGTCCATAGAGATCCATGGTCAGGCTTCTCACTACTAGCGCTAGTGGTTGGACATTCCTTTGCTTAATTCAATTGTTTCCCAATCCAATGTACACGTTCCTCTCTCTTACTCATGGTACTTAATTCAATTGTTCCCCAAACCAATGTACTCGCTCCACAAAAGAATGCAATTATGGGAACCGTGCCGGTCACACTAGCTAAAGTTTAACCAAGTTTATAGTAAATAATATTAGCATTTATGTCTCCAAATAAATTTATTATGAAAATATATTTTATAACTAATCTAATGGTACTTATTTTGTCTCATGAGTGTTAGCACTTTTTCATATAATTTTAGTCAAAGTTTAAACTGTTTGACTCCTCGAAATGTGTTCTCATGGTGTCACAGTGGATCAAAGTTCCAAATTACTTTAGTCTTCAGGGATTCAGTGTGAGTGATCCCTGGTGACTGGTTTGACTGAGCCCTATCAGCAGTCAGCTCCCATAATCATGCAGAGAAA